CTCAGCATGAGAATAGCTCCCTTGCTATCATGGGCACTAATTAGTTTACATTAGCTGGGGTTTTAGGCTATTATTTCTAAATTTTACATCTGGAAGTCAAGATGGTTTGCAGCTATAACTTCTATAGTTTCCTGATCATACAGAAAACTTGCAGGGTGTGTTCCTTCATAGATCTGCCAAATACCAACAGGAAAAGCAAGAAGTAACATGTTCACACCTCATCTTAGCTGCATTCAGGGATAAACAAAGTCCTTCACTCCATCCTCCACTGAAAACAGACAACAGGAGAAAGTTCAGCCTTTGAAGGCCGAATTTCTGTTTCCATTTCCAGTGAAATCTTTAGCAAATATTGTTTCTAAGCCTTTATTTTCCTGTAATACACATATATTCCGGCTATGAAACTGCACTGAGCAACTCTGGGAAAGTGTGTGCCTTGGCTTGCATTAATCACACATTCACACAACTACTGGGATTACAGAAGAGAGTGACTCATCTACTGATGACAGTAGGTAAAAGGGCAGTGGGGGCGTGGGGGATATCCCTAGTTCTCATACACACTTAAGGGAGTAATACAAACACAAAGCTGGAAGGGAAGCTGTCTGTCAAGAGTCCAGGTCTACTACAGAGGGCAGTGAAGGTCATGTAACCCCTTCCAGAAACTGCTGAAGCCTTGAGTTAGAACTAGTCTGGTGTCTGAGGGAGAGGGCTGCTTGGTCCCTTTACTCCTCTTGGGAAAGGTACATCTGCTAATTTAGCTTATGTCAGTATGATCTCCTCTCTCATTAAGAGTTCCTACTGTGATCTAGTTACAGGGGCAGTCCTATCCCAATACAGATTTTATTTTGTTAGGTGAAGGATGACAATTCTAAAATCTCCAGTGCTCAGTTAGGAATTTACTGATGGATTATTATGCTGACAGTAATTCAGTAGTTGAGGTCCTCCACAGATCTATACTTGAGCACAACAGACTGGATATGTAGAGAAAACATCCTCAGTAGCAGTACTCCCATGGTATGTTTTTTTCAATCAGGTGAATCCATTCACCTAAACAATCCATCTCTCCTATGAAGACGGACTGAGAGAGTTGTGGCTGTTCAGCCTGGAGAAGAAGAAGGCTCATGGGAGATCTTATAGCAGCCTTCCAGTATCTGAAGGGGGCCTACAAGAAATCTGGGGAGAGACTGTTTACAAGAGCACGTAGAGATAGGACAAGGGGTAGGACAAGCTTCCAAATGAAAGATGGCAGATTTAGGTTAGCTATTAGAAAGAAATTCTTTACTGTGAGGGTGATGAGGCACTGGCACAGGTTGCCTGGAGAAGCTGTGGCTGCCCCATCCCTGGCAGTGTTCAAGGCCAGGTTGGACTGGGCTTGAAGCAACCTGGTCTAGTGGAAGATGTCCCTGCCCATGGCAGGGGCTGGAACTGGATGAACTTTACGGTCCTTCCAACCCAAACCATTGTATGATTCTATGAATACTAGGGAGTGGCACTTCAAAGATTTGAAAATATCACAAAATGGGAAGAAAAAGAGAAGACTGAGGTAACATGACAAATGTGAGAATGTTTGCATTTTTTCTGGAACAGACATTAAGGCAGGTGATGTTGACTCAACTATGAGCCTGGCAAAGGAAGATGGTGCAGTAACTGCCAGCATTGGTGACAAGGGAAAAAGAATATTATCTGTGTCCCATGAGATGGCACTCTGAACCAGCAGTGCACACAGGGATGGGTTCGAAATTTTATTGTCCTGGACAGAGCGGATCACAGAAGTTTTAGTGAGAAGTGATTAATCCAAAGCATTGTCTCTCTGCTTTTGTTTCACAGGAGTTGATCTTAGTCTTTGTAGTGGGAAAAAGATGAAGTTTCAGAATAATGTGCCATGGTTTTTCTTGTCTCTTTTATATATATGCATTTCCCCTTATACTTTGATTTCCTGGTCATATTAGGAGCCTCTTTCACAGGCTTTTCCAAGTAGTCAGTCAAATCTATCTCTGTTAAGCTGATTTATTTGTATTGCACTAAGCATTATGCCTGGTGCTAACTGTTGGGAACAATACCTTTAGGGAAAGTAGTCAAATTGTCAACAACCTGATTCCAGAACATGGGATCATTCATTTCTCATCACCAGATTAAAGGCTTTGTTCTCACTGAAAGCTGTCATGTATTTGGTTGCCTATTTCAGTTTTTTTCCCAATGAAATGTACACCCCAGTCCAGAACAACCTCACTAAAAAAACCCAAAAGTAAGTAAGTAGGTATGAGAAATTAATTTCCAGTCTGTTGTTAGAAGTAATCACCGGTGAGTAATACTTCTACGTCAGCAGACATGTCTGAAGAAAACTGCCATACATGTTGAATCAGTGTGTTGCTATGTGACACCATCATTTATGTGTAACAGGGCATACACCTTGGGAAGAAAGAGAAAATAGAGACAGCTTGTTGCTGTTCAGTTATCTTTCTCAATGGAACCAGAGAATAACACTTTATTATAATTTCAAGTGTTATTCTAATTTCAAATTACCTTGTGGTTTGTAACTGTCAGTCTGATCTTTGATAGCATTTCTTATGAAAATTAAAAATATTTGGCCTATCACTTATTCCTGTTGCTAAAAAGAAATCTGAACTCATGTTATGGGGGGAATATTAGAAGTGCTGCTGTGTGTACCTGTTTACAGACTCTGCAATCTTACCCTTTGAATTTTTCTAATTGTGTTAAAGTTACAGGTCACTGAATCAAAATAAAACGTACAAATGACCTCCTATCATTGGCTTCCTTGCAAGATCCACAGCTTACTGTGAAAGCTGTAACTTGATCAGGAGACCTTTCATGACTGGCAGCACAGAAAGAATGCACCAGTTTATTATATTTGTTATTCATTTCCACTTGTAGATGATTTCCCATGTGGTCTTCAGGACATAACAGCATTAATTGCAATCAATTATGCACTGAGCATTAGTGAGTTTGGGGAAGGAAAAAACAAACAAAATACTAGAGTGGATGCTTTGAGTCTCTGAAATAGTTAGAATAGTTCTCCATGTGCTGTTGAGCAGCAAGAGTTTCCCTCCTCCCAAATGAGCTTGCCCTAAGAGTGGAGAGAAGGTGGCTGGTTTTTGTTCCCTTCCAGCAGCATGTAGGGACAGCGTTCCTAGGAGGTGTTCAGAGGGAGTGGCAGGGAGAGCTGGGGGAGCGAGGGCTGAAAGCAGGCTGAGTAACAGGAGAGTCACCTGGCTGCTTGCGTCCCTTCTGCGATGAAGTGCATCCAGCTTGCCAGTTCATAGATGAAGACACACGTATGTAACTGCTGGATCCCAGCATCCAGCAGTGTCTTCGTGGTTTTCCTTGGGCTGTTGAAGACCTGCAAGAGGTGCAAAGAAGACAAGAGCTGAGTTATTACTTTGTCAGTAGACTGTGACTTGTCTGTGTTACAAGGCTTTAATATTCAAAGTGTTCCATGTCACACACCAATTGTTTTTCCCTGATTTACTTATTTTCTGACATAATATCACAATAGAAGGTGTCCAGCTAACAGCGGGCTTAAAAATAGTTTTGACTTTTTTATAAGGAAAAACCCTGTTATTTGTTTTTTGGGGGTTTTGGTTTTTTTTTTTTTTTTTTTTTTGTTGTTTTGTTTTGTTTTGTTTTTTTTACTTGGTGTTAGAAATACAGGCCATAATAGGTGTGTATTGAAAATGCTTTGAGATTAAACTCAACAAGACTAATTTAGTGAAAGGCAAATGCAGAACACAGGGAAGCTGATGCAAGCAGTTTTTATTCAGTCAGACCAAGAGAGAGTGTTCCTGGACTGGGAGAGTGGCTTCATTTCTTGTCCCTTGCAAACCTCAACTACCTGAGGTTAAGCATGTTGTAATTTTCAGGTCAGCACCTTCTACTTTTCCTCATCTTCCTGGCTGGGCTGTAAGTAAGACACAGTCATACGTCAGGAGTTCTCATAAGTATGAGTAAGAAGCTACCAGGAAGTCACAGTTATTTTAACATTACCTCCAACAGCAAATAAGCCCAAAATACCCATTCTCAGGGGAATCAAGACTTCCCTCTGAGCTGTTCAGTTACCAGTGTCAGTGTGGACTCCTTCATCTGAAGCATCACAATTGCAGCAGTGATTACTAGTTTTATAGCACCATGAACAGAAATAATTAATTTCTCAGCAGTAACTAGGTCAGGCTGAAGGATTCAGTACAACTACATAGTGCCTGATCTCAGCCATCCAGAGCAGTTATCTAATTGTGGGTGATGTTTATACACCTCCAGCTTGGCAATGTAGTCTTTTCCATTGTCCAGCCTTTAAAAGAAACTTTACAATATGAACAAAGGAGTCCCCATCCCGCAGGTGAAGGGTTGGGACTTTCTGCTCCCCTTCCACCTCTAGGGACAGCAGAAAAGGCTGCTCTCTTCCAGAAGAGAAGCCTGTAGGAGGAAGCTCTTGCTTTACAGCAATAAAGAGGGCAGGTATTTTTCCTTGAATGTTAACTCCAGTCTGGCCTTGAGCTTTTAGGGCAACCAAATACAGACCTGTGCCCCTTACAAAGACAGAGTTAAGACACTGTCTTAATGCATATACAGATGCTAGGTGCTCAGACACGCACTCCTACATGTTTTGTTTGTTATCCTGGGTGTCTTTTTCACAATTGCGATTTTTTCTGCAAATAGCGGAAACTCCAGAGTAATTTGGAGTACTGTTTTGCTCAGAAGGCCTTTTAATTGCCCATCCACTCCTGTATTCTCTCCTTCATAGTCTTCCTTCATTCTTGTCTGGTGCCTTTTGTACTGTGCTTGCTGAAGGCAATGCACAAAGGCTGCTCTTTCCTGCCAGAGCTTGTTGTTGTCTTCAGTAGCTGGGCAGGTAAAGACAACTAGGGTGTGAATCATTTTGCTCCTGCAATGCAAGAGTTGCTATGAAGCATGATTAAGGCTGGGGGAGGGAAGAAAGAGAGAGTGAGAGGGAGTGTGTGTCTGCACAAATTAAGGTTGGTAAAGTGGGAGTGGTGTCAATGAGCAGGCAAGGTAAGAGAGTCTTCTGCTCAGCAAGGTTTCACCACGGGTAGCTAGTTCTTCGTGCTGTACCCATTCCATTGGCTTGTTTACCAGGATTATAGCTTTGCAAAGTAAGTACAGCTTTTTTTCCTCTTCTGATACTTTAGTTAACACCTAACTAATAGTTAAAAAAATCTTCACAGTGAAACGTAATGTTGTAGAGGGAGTGGGATAAGGAAGTTTGTTCAAAAAGATACCATCTGAAATGAAAGGAGCGAAGATCCTCCCTAAACTGCAATAGTTTGGTTTCATCCCAAAATCGCTGCATTGCTATGCTATACTTCTTCCCTCTGAAAAGATTTATTGGAAGTGGCGAATAGGATCTGGCAGGTAAGACAGTGGAGGGCATTACAAATTATAAAATATGGTGGTTTATTGCAAATGGCTTTCCCCGTATCGGAAAAAACAGCTTGTGTATGATACCATGAAACATGCTCCATGTGTCAAAATAACATTTGGACTGTCTTGTCAATCTCTGTTATAGAGGAGTATTCCTTTCATTTTATGCAGAGGTGTGTACACTGCACTCCATTTGCTTTATTACTCAAGTGATTAACCCACACTTGTTTAAAGTGAAGGGCAGGAACTTTGGTCCAGTAATTACCAATTTATTTTCAGCGTGACAGTTGAGTTTAAAGAATTCACTGGCTATTGAGTTACAACAAAGGATGTTGTAGTGGCTCATCCCGATTTCCTTCCTGGAGTGACTTTCCCTGCTATGTTGCTGACAGTGCTTTTTCCCAGTCATACAAGATGTTCTAGTCCCACATCAGTCTGATGTCTTGCGTTCCTCAAACAAATGTCTGTTCAGAGGAAATTGTGTCCTTGTTGCATAGCCAGGTATTCTGCCAGGTAGAGAGTTGTCATTTGTGTAGAAGTAAGAAGAAGAGGCTCACAGAAGTCCTTTATTTCCTTTATATTTTCTGTTTGCCGAGTAAAAACTAAAGTGGGTCATGTTCAGTGCTTGAGCTAATTTCAGATATTAATGCCTCATTTGTGAATCATGCATATATCTGGTTTCATATGGTTTCAGACAGTGGAAGTTTGTTTGGACTGGAGAGATTACAACACAGGCACTCACAGCTCCTGAGCTATAAACCGAATACACTCCCCCAGCACTGAATGGCCAGCACTGGCCATGCTATATCTGTCGCAAGTGACTTCTCCTGGAAGGACTGCTTAACCAGGACAAGAATAAAATGAATACTTGTTCTGCTTTATCAGATTATCCCTACCATAGAGTTAAAATGACTTGTCAGACACTTCCACACAGATGTTCCTATTCTCCTGGTTATATTTTTAAAAGATAAGCTATATTTAGCTTTTCTCTTAGTAAGCAGGTAGTAAACAAGGCCTCTCTCTTGGTTTGGGAGGTGGGAGTGTTTGTTGTTGTTGTTGCATTCAAGAGTGACTAAGCAAAAATGGTGTCTTAAACATGTTTAAATCAGGTTTTTCCAAACTGGTTCAGTAGCCTTTCGGCTCCCTTCTGTACCTGAAAGTGCTTCTGTAACTCTGACAATTTTAAGAAAAGCTGGGTGGATCACAAGGTACCTGTGCTTAGAAGATGCCCCAGTGCCCCAGGCCTCTCTGGAAATGCTGACATACCGCTTTCCTGGGAAAGGAGGGACTCAGCAAGAATCAATGCAGCAGCCCTTTCTGAAATTTCATTTTCAGGTTTTTTACTCCTCCCTGTTTGAGGGTTCCCTGTGATTGCTGATTCAGGAGCTGGGTGTAATTTCTAAGACTGTTAATGGGCAGCTAATGGGCTTTCCTCTAGATGGGAGCTTCAGCCCTTCTTACTTGACTGGAACTGGCTTTACTGGACTCCCAAGGCTTGGGATGCTCAAGTCGTTAGTGAGATTTAACATTTTGAAATGTTTGCTACAGTAATTTTTTTTCCAATAATATGAATGTCATAAGCTCCTAAATATCATACATCATAAATAACTGGAGCATAAAAAACTGTCTGACCAGGTGAATTGAAAAAGTGGTATAGGGATTATTATTCTCTATCCAGCCCGTCATTCAAGGTTAAGGATGGGACTGCGCTTTTGTCCCAATAAAATGCCATGAATGGGCATTATTTGAATGGTAGCGCTGAAAGAAATCGTGAGAATGGAGAGCTTTACCGCTACCAGGAATAGTTTCACTCCAAACAAAAGAGACTTTGAAAGTATCAGCAGTTAATATATGAACAAAAGGTAAATGAAAGTTTCACCATGAAGTACCTCCTGCTTTCCTCTGAAAAAGGAACACCGAAACTTTGTAGAAAATGAACCAACATGAGCAGTATCAGCATTACTAATGAGGTGAGAAGAGGTTTTAAGCTATGGTACAGCTTTTCACTGGCATAAGGAAAAAGAGTTTCATCCAGTTTTGCAAAATTTCCTATTTTATTTCCTCACTCTGAATCTCTTGCAACTCAAGGAAGCAGAACACAGGTAGCACATACACATCTTAAAATCACCCTAGCTTTGCCAATATAACTGAAAATACCAGTGTTAGAATGACAGCATAGGATTTGCAATATTAAGCTAGAAAGGGACAAGAAGTACTTTTAAGTGGTTATGATTGCATGTTGATTTTTGGCCTGTAAGGAAGATCCAGAGGCCTGAATAGAATAGAATGAGGATATGCAGCACTAAAGAATTATATTCTTTAAGTCAGATTTCTTTCAGATGAGCTACATGCCTCATTCTGCATTGTGATGTTCTTTCTGTTGTTTGACTTCTTGAGGGTGGTAGATGTCGAATGATACATTGTTTGTTACTGGTTCTCAGTAAGAAATACCTGGGAAGCTGCTACTTGCCACAAATCTCAAAATTTAGGGGATTGGGGAGGGGGACAGAGAAAGAGAAAAGGAGATAAGGATTATGCATTCTGTGTTCATTGTGCATGGTTGAGTTAATGGGGAAGAGAAGATAGGTAGCCTGTGCAAGGCAGTTTATTTAAGACATGCAGAGGCACAAAAGTACATGTCTGGGATGAGCAGCTACAGCCAGGCACTTTAAAGGATGATGTTACATTGCTGCTTTGCCTCTTCTTCCAAGTTACTCCCTCATCATCAGTCTCAGTCCTTCAAATTTGTTTTAACTGACTTTTGCCACTGTTCTGCCCAAAGCTGTTTTCCTTTATGGTGCATGCTGGGCCCACTTTTCTGGTAATTATTTGCTTTCATGCATGGTAAGTTGTAACTATGTAAATGAGATAGATGGCTGCAGTGCTGCGCTGGTGCTTTAGATACGTAAGATCTCTGAGATATGTTTCCTGAGCCTCACTCTGACATCAGTGTGACTACCTGCTGACACTGTAAAATGGGATCTCACATGGATAGTCTCTCTTTACCTAGCGCTGCTGGGCACTGCCAAGCTATTGGCTCCTAGATGTTGCAAAGCGTACTCCTCTATATTTTTATGTAGGGATAACTTTCTTCAGTGATATATATTTAATGTTTTCCCGTCTTCAAGATGAATTCCCATTTATTTTTTTTTCCCAGTGGAAGGAAATTTGTTAGCAAACAGTTTATTGCTAATACCAACAGTCAGAACATTTTGCAAGAGTGCAGCCGGTTAGGTGTACTTTTCAAACGTGGATTTAAAGAGCCTTGGTTTTATGCCAATACCTTTGTGGTTTTTTACTTAATTAGATTGTGCAATGCATTTCAGTAGCCTTTTATACTGCATCTTTTAGCCCCAAACAAACCAGTTGCCAAGTAAAACAGTTGCCTTACCAAATAGATGCAAAAACATTTGTAAGTTAATTAAAATAAAAATAAAGACATTTATGTTAGAAGAAGCCTTTTCTAATCGAACAGGCCTTACAAGTAAATCAAAAGTGTTTCCCCCTACTGTGTCACAGGCAAATTGTGCACCAGTTCTGTTACTCCCATAAAAGTGTTAAATACCACATATTATTTGGAAGTCATTCGCTGCTGTCAAGTACCACAACGGTGTCTCTGTACAGTAGTGTCAGATGTTCAGCTACGTTTGGGCAGTATGACACATGCACTCAAATAAGAGACAGTTCTAATTCAAAATGCTTTTCCAAACTGGGAGGAGTGGGAGCAGTCAAGAAAGGTACCTTGCTGGAGACAGTTGCCTGCCCATATGTTCCCTGTTCCCCTTTCTGTCTTCTCATACCTTTCTGCTTCTCCTTTCTCCCAAGAAAGTGAGGTCTTTCCTGGGCTAGGATGTAAATTATATGAACTAGGTAAGTAAGTGAGACTGCAGTATTAAGTAATTATTGGAGAGAAATCCCTGTCCTTAAGGTGTTTCTCAAAAGATTAGCAAACCTACCAATGTCAGAAATAACTGACTTTCCTTTTCATGACAGGATAAAATAGGGCCCCTAGATCTTCAGTGTCAGAGCCTGACATGTAAGTGTAGATAGGTGTGTGTCTGGATAAGAGCACAGCTTTTAAAATCACCCCTCCATATTTATTCCACTATTTTGCCATTTTTTCTGAAGGGAGCAAATGCTGGAGATATCCTTTATGTTCTGTGTGAAATCTTATGTGAAATATTTATCTTTTCCATTTCCTTTCTGTCTCTGACAGTAGCTTTGATGGAGCTGTTTAACACCAGTTTTAACAGATTGCCTTTTTTTTAGGGATAGATGACACTGAGGGCAGAGTAGTGTCAAATTCACTATGACAAGAGGGGTTGTCCTTTTTGTGCTTGCTGGTCTAAAGCCAGACTTGTGCTATTGACTGAAATTTTGTGGTTTACCCTTGTCAGCTTGAACCTACACAAACATGCTTAGACCAAAGTGCAATTTCAGGTATGTGAAAGTGGTCTAGAAGATGGGAATATTCTCTGGCTTTCCCAGAACATGGGCTGCAGCGGCTGTCCCTTGGGCACTATCCTTCCCATTTCTGACTGCACAGATCAGCTAACAGCCCTGTGGCAACTGTAGTTATTAGGAACAACTAGGAAAATATTTATGGTTAAAACAATGTAATTGGTGAGTAAGCACGCAGCCGTATTTATTTAGGAGGCCTCCTTTAAGTTTCTAGGACAATCTGAACCTACAGGACCAGACAGCTTTCTGAAGACTTCGAGCAAGGCTAGGGAGAATGGGGATCATCCCTCAGAGGAAGGACATGTACCAAAACTAAAGCCTTGATGAACAATTAGCCATGAAGCAAGAGACAGGAACGATTATGAGACTATTAAAGGCCTGTCTGAGAGCCACGAGAGCCCAGAGCACAGGCAAAGTACCTTATAAGTTGACACATTCTAAGAGTATCAATTAAAAACAGATTAAATTCATATGTGATCCAATTTGACTCATGTGCGTGGGTCACCCTGACCTACCCAGATTTCCCAAAGCGCTTCTGGCAATACTGGCTCGTGTAATACGTGGGATTGCCATCTGTCACTTGAAGATGGTGGCTGTTAATGAACCACTTTCATTTCCTTGGCTGGATGTGGACGAGACCTCAGGAGCTGCCAGTGTGCTGGCAAAAGCTGAGTGGGCTCAGTCAGGCCCTTCGCTCTCCTCCCTGAAGGTTCAAGCTGCTCAGTCCCATGCTGGTGTCCAGCATCTTTCAGTGGTCTGATGCAGCCCCACCACAGCAGGAGCTAGAATTACACTGAGTCATCTTTCTTTTCTTTTCTGTTTCAGGATGACAATGGATGCTCTGCAACTAGCGAACACTGCCTTTGCAGTTGATATGTTCAAAAAACTATGTGAGAAGGATAAAACAGCCAATATTATATTTTCCCCACTGTGTACCTCAACGTCTCTGGCTCTGGCATATAAAGCTACAAAAGGTGATACTGCAGACCAAATGAAACAGGTAAGGTGTCAGCATTTTGTTCTGTGGCTGCAAAATTATATGGCAGTTGGAGGTGCTTTCATTTTTATTCTTATTAATATACTACGAGACATCTTGCTCCTGTGTAAGTCAGGCTGCAAACCATCCCTCCAAAATTCGAGGAAGTTTCTCCACTCCATAAACCCACACAGAAAAAGAGGTTGAAAATCTGGCATAAAGAAAAAGCTTTCTCAATTGTGTACAAGGTGGACATGGCAGAATCCTCAACAGTTGCATTGAAGCTTTGTCTCCTTTTAGCATGATGTTGATTGTGGCTGCAAGTCACAGTCAAGATCACTCAATTTTCTGGATATTTTTTTTTCCTTTTTTCCTTTTTAAGTAATGACTAAGCTTTATAGAATTGGAAAGAATTTTGCCATTGTCTGTCAGCAGCAAGTATGCTTAGCAGCTCTGTCACCGGCATTTCCCCTTTCTTCCGCAATACGACTAAGAGGAGGCAGATGCAGTAGAAGGCGCCACAACTTCAGCCATGTTTCCTTACAAGCAGCTTGTGGTGTTTAAGGTGTTTCCAGCACCATGATGCAGTATGGTGATTTATCAGGGTCTCTCTACAGTGCAGGGAGACAACCTTGCAGCCTCTTCTGCTGCCCCTGTGTAAGCAGAGATTTGCACAGCTCCTTTTTATCTCGTTGAGGGTGCCCGTGGTTTCTGCAGTTCCTTAAAGGTGGATCAGAAGCAAATTCCATATGCATTTGTGTGATAATTATCACCTGATTGTGATGGATATTCTACATATTTGAATATGTTTTCCCTTCATTGAGAATTCCTCTATGTACCTCCCTCCATTGGGAATTCCTCTCTGTACCTTGTTGTTTACTGAAGGGAGCCCCACTTGTAGCCCCCTGTGCTCTCACTCATGCCACAGGTTTACAATGAGTTTTGTGCTATTCACAGAGCTGCGTAGCAATATATCCATGAAGGTCTTCTAGGCATTGCAGATTTTTCCACACAGCATTGTGGGGTTTTTTTCTTTTTAATTAAATTAACTGATTTTTTTTTTTTTTTAATTTAGATGCCCCCTGCAGCTTCCTCACCATTTCAGAATTCAAGCATTTTCTTCTTAATGGGAGATTTCAAAATATTAACCTGCTCTTAATTTTGTTTTCACTTATGTCTGTAATTTGCTTTGAACCATCCCATAATAAGTTAGCATACACATCCACAAATTTGTTACACAAATGTGTTTACGTTTCATATTTCTCAAGTAGTATATAAAAAGTGCTGACTGAAAATACTCAGGAGAGCTTGGTATGTTTCAAAATGTAACATCTCCTGTTTCCCATGTCTGTTCTAGCTTCTGCCTGCCCCTGAGTTCACACTTGGTTTTTAAATACTAGATATAAAGGGAGCCAAACTGGCAGTCTTACTCTGGAATATCAGTTAACAAACTTGTGCCAAAAGCTCTCCCAGGTAAAGAAGTAGCAGTAGAGTAGCTTTCTCCCCAAATAATTTCCAGGCACAGAAGCTTTCTGCATGTAACATGGTAAGAAATGAAACTACGGGAGGAAAAGGAAACAAGTGGAGAAAGTTGTTTCTGAGGAAATGACTATGGAGTTTGGCTATGAGACCTGTGTGGTGCTGTATGCTTGGGAGCTTATTTCCTTCTGCTCCAGCTGAGCAAGGAGAGGGAAGGACACAGAGGGGTGGCTAGGGCAGAAAAGCGATTTGCTGTGTCTGTGAAGATATGATGTGTTCAGGGAGAAAGAGTAGTGAAGGACAAAGGGAAAAGGAGGTTGCTAGTGCCTGCTATGCCTCATGTGGGAGTTTGAGACATGTGAGAAGGGTTGGGCAGGTTACCTGTAATGAAACAGCCACCATCAAAGATCCTGTAATACACAGAGGTTAGGAATTCAATTCATATTTACAGGGTTATTTTCAAACAAGACCAGGAGAAACCTCTCACCTCTGGTGCCTAAAAGCAGTAAGTTTTAGGTCACAACAGCACATCCTAGAACTGGACTTGTCATTCCCAGGAGCTGGGACGTGGCCACGTGTGGGTCAGCAGCCCTACCTCCAGCTCATACTGTGTCTACCAAAACAGACATATTCATCTGATCACTTTTTGCTGAAATATCACATGCTGTCATAGGATCATAGAATCACAGACTGGTTTGGGTTGGAAAGGACCTTAAGATCATCTAGTTCCAACCCCCCTGCCACAGACAGGGATGCCTCCCACTAAACCATGTTGCCCAAGATTCTGTTCAACCTGGCCTTGAACACTGCCAGGTATGGAGCATTTACTGCTTCTCTGGGCAACCTGTTCAAGAGCTTCACCACCCTCATAGTAAAAAATGTCTTCCTTATGTCTAATCTAAACTTCCCTGTTTAAGTTTGAACCCATTACCCTTGTCTTATCACTACAGTCCCTGTCATGTATCAGTCACAGCAACCAGAAAACTTGATGATCTGTTAAGCATTTTTAAAGGGGTAGCCCACTTCTAGAAAGGAGACTAACTGGGACCCTCATTTATCTGGCTTAAGAGCTCCAGTTTTTTGAACAGGAATGTAAGTTAGGTGAAAACATGACTGTATACTACAGCATTTTAATGAGAAAGCCACATCACCAGCATGAACAGCTCTATTGATTTTCTTGGACTGCTCACAGGAAAGAAATGCAATTGGTAAAAGTTCTGTTAGGATCAGATTTTTAGATCTATGTGAGGATGTCAAATAAATAAATAGTTTTTGAGTGAAGAACAGTGAGAGGTTGTGTTGTTAGCTTAAATACAAAAAGCCACAATTCTGGTCACAAACGAGCGTTACTTTTTGCAAAGCTGTTGGGAATATTTAGACAATAATAGTAATAAAGATGTTTAGTGTTTTATTATATTCATTTTACAGGTACTCCATTTAAAAGATGTCAAAGATGTTTCTTTTGGGTTTCAAACAATAACTTCAGACGTTTCCAAACTCAGCTCTTTCTTTGCATTGAAAATGGTCAAACGGCTCTTTGTAGAGAAGTCTCTTAATCCTACCACAGTAAGTACTGCAGAAAAGCCTGGTGCTATGAATTGCTTGGCCAGCATGTTGGACTGCAATGTTATTTTAAAAAACTTCTCTCACTTTTGGCTGTTAATTGGGTAGACTCAGATGATGAACAATGTAATATGCTCTGATGCCATGAAAGGTTGTAGGACGGATGAGTGTTCTGCCTGACCTCAAGCTATGCAACTATTACAACACTTCTAATTCTTTCATTAATATGCTTTATGTCAGTAGCTCAGTAGGTTTTCAATGTGACCTAACTTCTATGCCACATCAAGGTCTTTGCCTTGCAAGTATGAGCGAAAAGGAGTTTTAAAAAAAGTTGGTGGGCCAAGTGTGTGACCAGTTCACACACCCAAGTAATTACTACTTAAGCTGTCTGAGGAGGCAGGAGCCTGGCTATGGAAACACCACAAGTGGAGAAAGTGATGTTTGGCCTTATAACTTATGGACCTTGCAAATACCTGGGAAGAACATTGGTGGTTTTTTGTTTGGTTGGTTGGGGGGTTTGTTTGTTTGGTTTGTTCTGTTTTGCTTTTTCTTTCCCCCTAAGTTGTTTTTGAATAGGGCCCCAAGCAAAGACAACATCAGCCTAAAAGTGGTGTTTCAGAAAATTCAACATGTTTAAATGGTGCTATAATAATTTAATAATTTTATAATCATATTGATTGGAATGTTTTTAAACTGAAAGAGGGTAGATTTAGATTAGACATTAGGAAAAAATTCTTCACTATGAGGGTGGTGAGGCACTGGCACAGGAGAAGCTGTGGCTGCCCCATCCCTGGCAGTGTTCAAGGCCAGGCTGGACTGGGCTTGGAGTAACCTGGCCTAGTGTGAGGTGTCTCTGTCAGTGGCAGGGGTTGGAACTGGGTGAGCTTTAAGGTCCCTTCCAACCCAAACCATTCTGTGGTTCTATGAACCAGATTGCCTGCTGTTCAGCCTCTGCTACAGCAAAGGCCAGTACCTAGCCACAGTACCTATCCACAGCAATAAACATCTCATCAGGTGATGACAGACATGATGTGAGCAGCCTGTGGCCTTTATCTCAATCTTCTCTATTACCCAGATCTGGACTGAGGGTTGTTTTATCCTTTCAAACTCTGAAATCGTAGTCACTCCTGCAATACCAAAGTTCCTTTAGCTGCTGATGCAACACCACTGGACTGAAGACAGCCTTAGGAGCAATGTGCTGAATGTAGCTGTGCATCCTGGTTGTCATCCACTATCACTCACAATAAACTCCCCAGCTACCCTGTGGTGAGGCTTGGGATGCTGGTGTTGCAGACTCTGTAAAGAGCAGGGATGGCGTTTAACCTAGGATGACTTTGGTACCTTGTGTCTTTCAGGACTTTGTCAACTCTACAAAGAGGCCTTTTCCATCTGAACTGGAATTAGTGGAGTTCAAAGAAAAACCTGAGGAAACCCGGCAGAAGATCAACAAATCTCTTTCAGAGCTAACTGATGGTGAGTACAGCTTAACCTTGGGGGTGCTGTTTGCCTCTTTGGAGAAAGAGATCTTTGTCTTTGGATACATCTTTATTAATGCTTTTAGAAATAAACACATAGAGAAAGCACGGAGACTAGAGCTACTACTTGGATTCATGAGGATTAGCAATGTCAGCCTGTTTTGGCATTATACTGCAACACTTCTGAAGGTGGAAATGTGGGACTGACCTTGCATTAATTAGCCTTGGGCAAAGCTGCTCACACTTGACTGCAGCAAGACAGTTTGGGAGGATGACAGCTCCTGGCTGTGTTGCTTCACAAACATCTCATATAGATACACCAAACACCCGGGCCCTGGCTTACTTTAAACATTTTACTGTGATGGGAAGTACTTGCTGAACTCTGAATTTCAGGCTGTTAATTAATAGCTTGGCTTAGTTCAGCTCAGCTGCTTTTGCCAGCAAGGAAGCCACAAGCAGATGTGCATCTCTTATTTACCTTCCTGTGGGAATGGGGCAGCAGGAACTTTTCCCGTAGTGCTGCTGAGCCACCAACCACGGGGCTGAGTTATGGGAGATGCCCTTCAGTGACCAGCCTGTTGGGGACAGAGGTCTGGCCCTGGCCCAGAAAATCACCCAGGGCCCATGACCAGCCTGTTTGCAGCCTGGGCACAGGTATCTTAGGGGTCTATTGCTGCCTGTTGCCCTTGTGTGGTGCAAATATGAAAACATGGGTTCACGATTGGTTTTCCCCAGGATGGCACAGGTGCCCATGTGAAATTATGTCGCCCTGTGCAATTCATGCATGAAGGCAGGACTTGCCTCTGCTGTGCTCTGGATTCAGTGTCTTTTATGGCAGTGCTTGCACAGGTGTAAAACAGTGTAAAGCACACAACATTTCCATATTATTTTTGAAGTCTGTAGCAGTATTTGGTTATAAACTGTAACCAGAGCAGCATTTTTTGCTATTCTGGTTATTTTATTCTCATGTATCAGTCTAGAAGTGAGAGGCTGCTAATATGGAACTTCCCTTCAAGTCTTGCCCTCCAAACGACAAATACTTGTTTGCTTAAACATGGGGAATTTCACTGAAAATTCAGTACGCTCTTTTAAGGTACTGAGCAAAAGCAGTAAATGTAGTTTTGATAACATGCTATATATGCCAAGAAAACCTGTCATTTGAAAGATCTGCCTTTATCCTAAATCCATTTTCAAACATGAAGCTTCAATTTTAAGTCAGTGCTTCTTTTTGGAGTTTTCTAGTAGAATTAAAAAATTTTATTTGTGAGGTGCAGGACACAGATTTTTTAATTCAGTGAAATGTTACCATATATACTGATAATGTATTGTTGTATTAACAACCATCTTAAACCTGTTCATAGGCAAAATGGAGAATATTTTGAATGAGGACAGTGTAAGTGACCAGACCCAGATCCTCCTTGTTAATGCAGCTTATTTCATCACAAATTGGATGAAGAAGTTTCCAGAGGCAGAGATCAAAGAATGTCCTTTTAAAGTCAATAAGGTAAGTTATGTTCTGAAAAAAAATAAAAATTAAACTAAAGAGTACTGTTTTCACTCAAGAAAATGGAAACTTTGAGCTAAGGAAACCCAACAATAGAAAATGAGAAATATTTATTGTTATTGTAGGATTCTTAGACCCTATCTAATGCTATCTATATGCTGTTGCAAGGGTCACTAAACCAGTTTGCGTGTTGTGTTGTTTTAAAACTTTGCTGGTGCATTCACATCCGTCTTTCAAAGGCCCAGTATGAAAGCAGATTGTCCTGCTAGTATATTTAGACAACAGGAGCTGAGTACAAGTGATCAGAAGCAGACACTGCCTACAAGGAGGTACACATTCTCATGGGTAGCTTCTTCCAAGAGCTTGCAGCCTGTACCAGAGGCTGCATCCCAAACCCAGTAGGGGCGAAGCACAAAACACTGCATTTCTCATGGTCACAGGGCTAGTGAAACATCTGCACCTGAGGGATCTCTTTAAGAATACCCCTTATGTGCCTCGCCCTGTGCTTTCCACTTCAGGGATGGTGCCCCATCAATCTCCCTCTTTCCAATCAGGTTGAGGACTACAGCCCTTGGCATATCTGCTGTGCTTAGCCATGAGGTCCAAGTGTGTGCAGCCCCTATGGCTATTGCCTTCAGGAATCTGTAACCAGAGATGAATGTTGTGATCATACATTCACTTTAAACCAAAATATAAAGCTGGGCAACATTTGTGAGATAAAGAGATTATACTCCAAATATATACATATGTATATATGTGCATGAGAAAGTTGAAGTTTCAGGTTCATTGAAAATATTTGTAAATTACGACATCAGCAACAGTTTCAGCTAAAAAAGCTTTAAAATTATACAATCAAAACCAAAATTAAGGAAATATCTCAAGCTCCTTTTTCTGTTTTTCAAAAGTAACATTTCAAATTTTAGCATTTGAATTTTAAATGTTTCCAGATGAACAGTACAGTTTGTAAATCTTCCTTATAAAATAGTTTTGTTTTGTTTTGTTTCCTTCATGAAAGACAAAGGCATGGGCTTTAGGTAAGCCTGAAATTTCTTCTTTTTCTGTTTCAGCTCCTGAAGAAAATATCAAGTATTTGTATGAACAGCTTAACCTTCATGGTTGAGATGTGTTCAAGTACTTGGTACTTATTGGCATTAAAATGTATAATTGTTTAGACAGTATAGTTTGTAGCACTCAGTGAAATAAGCATAAAGGGCCACTGATATTAGGTAAATTTCTCTTTTAAGGCACATCCCCCATATATTGCTGTTGTAGTAAGTAGAAATCTATTTCACTTTTCTTTGTAAAGCTGCCTACTGTAAAAAGGCAACAGGGTCTCTTACAGCTGGTTAAATTACCTATGAAAGCCAACAGATCCTCTGATGGCAACTCAACATATCAATTCCATGCGAGCTTACAAATTTTCCAACTGTCACCAACTTATTTGTGAATTAAAAAGAAATGCTTGATTGTTTTCTCTGTGTTTTGCAGACTGAAACTAAACCAGTGCAAATGATGAATCTGGAAGCTACTTTTTGCCTGGGCTATGTAAAAGAATTAAATGTTGCCATCCTTGAGTTGCCATGCCTTAACAAACATATAAGCATGCTCATTATGCTGCCCAAAGAGATTGAAGATGAGACCACTGGCTTGGAGAAGGTGAGATGAAAAAATATAATTGGTATGAAGCTTCCCCTGGAAACAGCCCACTTATAATGGCATATGCTTAGGGAAGGTTTTTCTTATTTAGATGCTATACAGAAGGAAACAAAAAGTATTTTTCCTGTGAATTTACCTTCTTATTCTCCTTCTCTGTTCCTGATCTCCTGTCTGTGATATTGTTTCCAACTGTGGCCAAGCATGGCCAAGAGTTTTAGGTAGGGTGCACACAGAGAACAGTGTGAAGTGCAGAAGGTGCTCATGATACACTTTAGGAATTTGCTTCAATTTGAAAATCTGGACTCCCAAAATAATTTTCATCTTAAGATTTTTATTCATTCCATAGTAAAATGCTGAAAGTCATGCTTACTGAGTACTCAGTACTGCTGACATTACTTACTCTGGTGTCCTCATTTTTTTTCCACTTGGCATGTATCCATGATTTGTTTTACTGAGGTCTTACACTTAATTTTAATTTTGTGCAGAGGTGACTGAAAATGAGCCATTTTTAATTACAACTGCACATAAATTTGAAAATGAATAAGGCCTTTCCTGAAGAACAACTGTTTCTTATGTCATTTCTCTATGAAAATTTTAGAACATACTTTCACCTCTATTCAAAGTTTAAGGATTAAGAGATAGATGATCATGCAAGTCTCCTTTGTAATTTGCTACAACTGGCCATAAATTGTAAAGGCAGGAAGAGTCTGCCTTTGCAGCTGTAAGGTACTTTTTTATATAGGAGTAAATTACAGAACTCATATCTGAAAATGCAAGAGAGGCCTTTCCTGATAGCAGTTTGTTACGGGCCCAAATTCTGCCTCATCACTTCCCAGTTTTTAAAAAATTGCTCAAACAGCTTCATGTTTGACTGACATCAGGCTCTGGATTTGGAGTCTTTTTCTGTCCCAAATACAAGCAATTTCATTACTCTGTAGGGTCAGGAATCAAGTCCTTTGGATTTGCCACTAGGCTGGGTGTAATCCGAGTACAGATTGTCTTTCTCAGATTCCTTCATGTGGTGGTTGAATTGATTGCCTGTCAAAGGCTTGTAAAGGGGGTAAGAGTTGCAGCATGCACGTAAAATGGACTTGCTCCAGTGGCGTGTTCTGTGGATTAAGTTGTATTTGCATCAATACACCTGAGGGTAGCTTAATCCTGAATGCTACAGTTGTGAATTCAAAAGCAAAGGTTGCCTTTTGGACTTTACTTTCTGGGGGCTTGATAGGATTGGGAAGTTTAGGAATGGTCTTTTTTTTTCCTCTTTCATTGGACTGCTCAGTAACTTCCATTTTTCCTTTATGTCTTCAGCTGGAAAAGGCACTCACCCCAGAGACATTATTACAGTGGACCAATCCCAGCATGATGGCTAACACCAAAGTGAACGTATTTCTCCCAAAGTTTAGCGTGGAAGGTGATTATGATCTGAAGCCACTTCTGGAAAGCCTAGGAATGACAAATGTCTTCAATGAGAATGCATCCGATTTCTCCGAGATGTGTGAGGCCAAAGGTGTGGTTATGTCAAAAATCATCCATAAAGTGTCTCTGGAAGTAAATGAACAAGGTGGCGAGTCACTAGAGGTACCAGGATACCGGATTCTGCAGCACAAAGATGAATTTAAAGCTGACCATCCATTTATCTTTTTGTTTAGGCACAACAAAACCCGTAATGTGATTCTTTCAGGCCGATTCTGTTCTCCTTAATCAGAGTGTATTCATTATGAAAAAGCACAATTACATTTATGGTGGTGCATTTTCCTATAAAGCTTGGCATCCTGACTACCACCTCTGAAAGGAAATCTGGGAGTTTCGTATATGAGTGGGGTAGTACAATGTACTCTACATATGCAGCAGGACTAGTTTATCTTCTTATGTTTCATCCCCTTAAGCTGAAGGATTCTCACTGTGAAGAACACATCGTGTTTTACTGAGAAGTATGCCAGCCTCGGCAATGAATATATTTTGTTGTTCTATGACATCTTTTTCCCCAAACAAAGTGAAATGAGAGATTGTTTTAGATAGACCAGGAGTTGGAAAGGGCTCTGGGAGGAAGGGCTACATTTCTGCTCCCTAGCCAAACTACTCTTCCTTGTGATCCATGCTCTGTGGATTCCTACTGCCTAGAAGGGGAAAATGTCGACATGTGGTGTGACAGCCCTCTCCTTGTACCTGGCTACACCCTGGTGGTCCAGGGTGCTCTGTTGAATCCTGCCCATGCTCAGTGAAACACTGCCCAAGTTCGGCAGCCTAGCTAGACAATTCAGCCTAGCATCAGAGTTTGCATCTGTGAAACAGCAGCTGCACTGAGACCTGTGGATGCAAGAGGCAATAACCATGGTGACAGAACGTTTACCCAGAAGACTCTTCAGCGTAAACTGCTTTGGTTTGTAAATTGGACTCTGCTGTGTGGATTTTTTTGACTCTGCCCTTTAGACAAGATGGGACCAATTCACTGCAGCTACAAGGAGCCCTGTTATATATATCCCGAGAAAAAAAAAACAATTATACAATTCCAGGATACAAAATAGTTGGATGAATACTGAAAGTGGCACACTTTTCATGCACAGATTGTCTGCAATTTCTAGTTCTGGATTCAGCATTAAGGAGACTCCATACAATTACATGATGTCTGAGGCATGAGGAAGAAATAAGGACTTCAACTTGAGTAAGATTAACATTGTAATTACCGGTCTCCAAATTCCATATGAAGTCATGGTAATCAGATTTCATTTGTGTCTAAAGACTGCCTGCTGCATGTGTTCAGTACTGTTTTACCTAATTACTGTTCAGAATAAAGCACTATAAAACCTGTGTCAAATGTCTGCAATACCTCCTTCGTCAGTTGGTGTGTTCACTCTTGTGTGTTCACTGTCAGTGTTCACTTCTGGCCTCCAATAAATGATAGCAATGAAAATAAACCCATTTACTTAGCCCACAAAGTCAAAATAAAAAACTAAATCAATGTCTGGATTGCCCTTCTGGACCACCTAATGATAGTTCCCAGTAAGGACTATGTTACTAGCTGGCACCACTCTACAAATAATTCAGTTATGTATCCTCAAAAAGTGGGAGCATTTTACTTAAGAATTCCTCTTCGTACTTCAGGTCTGAAAGAAACCAGAAGGAGATTTCTAAACAGGAATATGCAACCCCTAATTTGTATACCAGAGAACAACACTGGTTATTATGAATTTGGAGACAGGAGTTATGTTTTAATTCGTGGCCAACCCATGAGATACGTGGATACATGTGTCCGGATACATGGATAGTAGTCAGAATAAGAATGCAAAATACAGCAATTACTCTGCAGCCCATCCTGTCTGAGAAGGAATTGCCTGCAAAGATCTTTATCAGCTCAATAACTTCAGTGACGGCTGAATGTCTAGGAGCTGTCTTACACACCCCGTCATTGTCTGATCTCTTTTGGAGGCTGGGGTCAGACTTACTGCAGGGCTGTTGTCACTGTCGTTTCTACTGGTTCTTCTGTAGGATGCTGTTCAGCGTATGATATTGCACATGGGGTTAACGACTGACTCATACATAGGCAAGATGGACTAGTTACTTATAATCAGTACAGTTTGTGTTTAGGCACCGACTTTTTGTCAGTAGTTCTGGTTGTCCAGCAGAGCATATTACGCTTATTGTAATATGCTAGCACTTTCATAAGCCTGCTAGACTGATGAAAACTTCTGGCAGATTGCCCCATCCCTCTTTTTCTGCCTGGATGAGATTTCCTGAAGGAGAAAAGCTCAGACACCACTCTGTCAGCCTCTTTTTTCACTTCCTAAAAACATTCCAGTCCATAAGCCGGTCTTCATTCAATGGAGATCATATTCTGTTAAAATGCTAATGAGAGCATTTAGCCCATGCACACAAATTTATGTAAGCCTATCTTCTCAGAGAGTTCCTTGTGATGGCTTTGCTAGGAAGGGTTATCCCATGAAAGCAGAGACAAACACTGCCTCAGGGTAGGGCCCATCTTTCTCCACCTCCTGACTAATGCCAAGGTGTCCCAGCCTATGCAAGGCAAGCAGATATGAGAGATACAAAGCTGTTTTAGTCAGCAGAAGGCAAACCCATTTATTGGTCATTTATAAACAGGGTATCCTGCCCATGAAAGCTCAGGTTAATTTTTTACTTCTGCCTCTTGCCTCTACCAGTCCAAGTATGACACCCATTCGTCTCGCAGCATGTGAGGGAGAAGTATCAGTAAGGCTCATGCTGGTGAGAGAAATGCTGTTACAGTCTATTGTTCAGTCCCACCCTTGCTGGCCCCTGGGCCTTGGGCAAGGAATTACATGGGAGGACATGGGAAAATGTGTGTGGGAGCTTGTGTATAGGAACAGTGACGTGCTGAAAGGTGGTGGTTTCAATGGAGAAAGTGAACATAGCTGAGGACTTGCTCAGATTGCCAAGCTGCTCCACCTCACCTTTCAACAGAGCATTACTATCCAGTGATGGGTGATGGCCCCAGTGGAAAAAAAAGCAAGCTGTGGCTGGCTTTTGCAGGCAGCTGCAAACTACAGTATTATGTGCTGAGTCATCTCATCACTTGCTCAGCCGCACAGCCATTGCCCACTTCCTGCTCCCAGCATTTTTTAGAAGAGAAGGGATACATCTTAATGTCTTCTGGCTACAAAAGTTATTTGTGGGGAGAAGCAGTTTCGTTTTGAAAGTTGAAAAGTGCTACATGGAGCAAATTTGCCCCACTGGAAAAGCAGTACAGATTTGAACCCTGAATATACTGTCCTAAGGGCCTAGAAAAGGCAGAATTTACACATACATTGACATTTCCTGAGGCAAAGCAGTTAAACTGGTGTCAAGGAAGTTCTGAGGGAATATATGTACAGAGGAAATAAATCGTTGGAGGAACGATGTTAATATAAGAAGGAGGCAGAAAGGATGACATTTGGAAGAAGGAAAGTCTTGAAAGATACTAAAAAATGCTTAGACTGAAAAGAGGCTAGGACTCGTGGAAGCAGCAGAAGATATTTGATAAGGCAATGTGCAGAAATAAATTAAAAAGAGAGCTCAACAGATAAAGAGACAGAAAGAACTGAAGACTAATGAACACTGCAGAAACATGCAGGAAGGAAAACTAGAAACATAGAAGTGAATTGCAAATGGAAGCACAAAAGTGAGGAAAAGAACAGGGGTAACAAGAGCACTCATTTCATCATTGTATCTTGCATTGTTTACAAACCCCTCTTCCAGATGGGCACTGGAGCCAGGCCAGCAGGGCTGAGACCATGGCAGTGGAGCAGGAAAGAGCAAAGCTGGTGGTAGCTGAGCCTGAGGAAGAGGGTCACCCAGCTTCATGACAGAAGGGAAGTTTGGGAAGGTGAAGGTGGTGCTGGGAGACCTTCTTCCTCTTTCCTGCTTTCTCCCCTCACTATATCCGATGCCTCAAATATCCTATGAATCCAAAGTCAGTTTTGTGCATTGTAGGAAGACAGAAGAGGTGACAATGGAAAGACTGAAAATTTGCCAGGTTGCAAAGCCACATACAACCCTAGAAGACTTAAGACTGACCCCTGAGTGCAGCTGCCATAAGCCAATGTTACACCTGAGCAACCTGTGCTGGTGCAGCTCCACGCTTCCCACCTCTTTATTTCCAACTCAGTTTATGCTGGAGACATGACTTATGTGATAAAGCACTCCTAGCCTTTTATTCTTAAGTCCAATGATTTAAAAGAATACCCCCTGGCTGGGGATTCCTGCTACAGTTCAAGGAAATACTTCTTCCTCTCTCTAATTGAGCTTCTTCCATACACATAAAGCTGACTCCTTACCTGAGAGAGATGGCTGTAGGCAACATAAAGGTCATGCATTTCCCATTCGTTTGCTCTATCTCTGCAAGCAAACTCAGCTCCAAACAAGACTTCTCTGAATCCTGGGATGAGCCCTGCATATCCCTGTGTCCAGGCCAGACCCCATGCACTGCACAGCAGTACAGCCATGGATCTTCAGGGTTAATGCCAGTTTTCCGGCTGAGGGTGACTTGGCATTGCAATCAGGAGATGTTGCCAGCAGATATTGCCCGACAAACTTGTTGGGCAGCTTTGAAAAAAATACTATTAGCATATTGCTAGATACAGGTTTCCCAGTCTTCTGCAGGGAACTTTGTGTTGATGGCATTTGCATGGAATTGCAACATGCTGCTATCATCAGCAATTGGTTAGAGGCTGAGCTTTCCCACATGAGAGTGGGAGATTTTTGTAATACAGTGTTCACAAGAACGTGCTCCAGAGCTCAGCTGTTGTGCTCTTCATTTAACCTCTTCGGGCAAGAAGGTAAACGATTCTAACAATTCTTTATTTATTTTATTTTTTAATAACTTTTCTTGTTTTGCTTTTTTGGCAGATCTAAAGTAGTCTGCACGTTGGTAAAGTAAACATCATGTTTACAGATGGGACAGAGTGGGGATACCTTTACAGGCTGCAGGCAGAAAAAAACACTGCTAAAATCCAGGTAGCTCAAGAGCTCACACAAAGGGAGCTGATATTCAGTGGGATGTAGATAGGGAATTTAGGAACACATGGCCAAAGCTGTGAGTATAAAGATTCTTACTGAAATTTCAGAGGCTTTTGAATCTGAAATTCCACTAGGACTTCTCAGCCCATCCAGAAAGCTATAACTGCCACAGGACTGATCAGTTCAGTAGCTGATCAGCAGAGAAAGAAAGTAGAGGCTTTTTCACCTGTATGTCAAGAAGGGCTGAAGGCTAGGCTTTTTCGGGTCCACTCTACACTCACAGGTAGAAATGGGCTTTACATAAAGTAATGGTACTGATGACCTGGGGAAACAGACCCACAAAGTGGGAGATACCAGTTAACTTCCCTTCTTTACCCAGCTTTCCATGGTACAAGCAAACGTCTGGAAAAGTTCACTAGATGAGGGAGAGAGCATGCAATTCTTTGGTTGTGTGCTTACAGTTTCCATTGTACCCAGATCCTCCCTGCTGGGGGATTGTTTGTGTTCTTAAACAATGACTATATAAAATAGGAAATGTGGAGTGGTATTCAGATTTTTGTTGCTATTGCTGTTAGAGGGGATGCTAGTCTTTTCTATCAACATATTAGCTCTTGGGTTTGGCAGTGATGTTTAGCAGCTTGCTAAGAAAACTATGCAGGTGCACATAGACACAGCAAATAACTTGCCACTGTGCAGCCCATAACAGGGCAATGTATATCGATGTCTGTTTATGCAGGAATAATGGGCCTAGAAGGAGGTAGAAAATACACTGAAGGTACTGATGCAAAATAATAAAAGCAGTCAGAAAGAGGCCTTTCTGGCACAGAAATAACAGCCTGAGAGGCTAAGTTGTTTGGAAAATGAACTTGGCAACATTACCCTTGAAAAGTTATTTTGTACTGAAATGTATTGGTTTTTGATTTAAATCATGTTACTTTGGAAATGCTTTGTGTCACCTAGGGGTGTTTAGTTTCTGTGTTGTAGGAGATACCATTTTTCTTATATGCCATTCCTCTCACTCCAAATCAGCACAGAAACACTTGGAAATGTCTTTTTGTATGAACAGTCATGAGAAAGAAGGAAGTCACTTCTACCAATCATAGATTTTTCATGTGGAGAGACAGTACAATCTAGCATGTGCTCCTTTTCTAGGGTAGACACACGTAATTTCTGCCTTTGTGTATGAGAAATCAATGTGCATTAAAGCTCCTTAATGGGATGCAGATTGAATAAGTAAAACATGTAATGGGAATTATCATGTGACATCAGGGAAAACAGGTTCCTATTTACTTACCTTGTATTACAGAACTACTTTAGAAACAAGGCTACAGCTCCCTTACCCTCCACACTTTATTTACTGCCTTCTCCTGTTAACTGCTGAATATAATCTAATACTTATTAATTATGACAGCTGTGAGAACAGCTTTTTGTTTGAGAGTTTTCATCTACCCTTAGCCAAAAGCAAATGGCAAATAAGGAAGAGAACATTAATAGTTATAGAAAAGGAGTGTTTATCATTTCACACAGCCATGGAAGAATACAATCTTTACAAGGTCTCTGGTATGCAGCAGTTTTTTGTGAACAAGGTTCTTTTTCTGGGTAGCTGCTTGCTCATTTGTTAACAGCACCAGTGATTTCTATCTGCTGTACTACACTAAAAGCTACTGAGCCATCATGCAAAGCATCTCCCTTCATCAGCTGTAAAGCCCCAGCCCTGCTTGCACTATTGCTGACATTCAGTGCGGATACTTTGGCTAGTGCAGAACGGCAGCTAGGATCTTCCTGGAACACTTCTTTTGATCTTATATCTTCTCTCTTTACCACTCCAAAATCTTTTAAAAGTAATGTTACCATTTATTGTCCACCATGTAGGTGTTCTCCAAACTCCACTGTCCTTGCAGTAACTCCAAAACTCTCACTGCTTGAGTGATCACACAAATTACACACATGGCTTTATAGAGTGGAATCATTCATACACTTGTGCCTGCCCAAATTTTGACTTAGAAATGTCTTTAAATTCTTTCATTCTGCAGCAACCAAGTTCCTCCTCCAGCCCACACCTTTCCTCCCTTGCTTTGGGTTTCCTGGGCAGTTCCCTACATGGTTCCCGCTTACAAAAGCATGGAGCTGGCCACAGTGTTTGTACCTGGACATTTCCCTGAGGAGCCTGCTCCTTTTTCTGAAGGAGTGGCACCTTGGTGTACCAGACACTTGCTTTCAAAACCTGTTCCCAGCTCCTGGGCTTTCTCTCTCTGCTTAGCAGTCGGTCCTCTCCCTGCAAGGTGGGGCGGAGGTGCCTCCTTCCTGACAAGGAAGTTTATTAACGCTTTTCTTCTCCTTGACTTGTCCTGAGGTTTGGGCACACCTGCAATATGCCTCATGACCTACATTTGGCATGAACAATCTCACAGCTCCATTTCAGATCTTCCAAGAGGTGAGGAAGTGGAGCAATACAAACTTCAGCACTGAAGAAGCACTGAGCTTTGTTTTCAGAAGGTTATGGATAGTAGGTAATGAATGTGGCAGAAAAGAGGAATGACTATGCAGTGCAATGTCTTTTTCTTGTGGTAAGGTGACTGTGTTATTAAAAGGAAAAGGAAAATGATGTTTCATATAAAGACACAAATACCAGAGCTAGAACAGCTGTTTTCAGAATTAATGAGATACAACTCACCTTTAATTTGTTTCTTCAGCGATCCTTTGGGGTATTGCTCCTCTGTTTTGCCCATTAGTATGGTCTGTATGTGAAGCATTTCTGGACTTCAGGGGATAATAAATGTCTCAGTATGAAACATGTATAAACTTTTTCTTTCAGCATTGCGAGTTTTTTTCCACAGAGCATCAGTCAGAAACACAACGAAGCACTGATTATTGCTGTGCTTTTCAAGCTAGTCAAAAGGCAAGAAAAGTCTGCATTTGCTACATGTGGCGCTTTCATATATTCAGCAACTTTTCAGCTCTTCCAATCCACTGCAGCAATCCTCTTAAGCTAAGTCTGTTTTCCTCTGGGCTGAGTTCACTTCCATTGTATGGCACTTGCTGTGGGCTAAGGTAGTTTGTGCAGACGTGCATCTCAGCTGAGCCACATCAACTCTCAGCACCTTGGTAACTCTTCTGGCACCTGTGCTCCAGCTTCTCATACAAAGTCTGTGTCTGGCCCATGGCTGAGTGAGTGGTAGTGAGCGTTCTGCATCTTGAGGACAACACAAGAAGTTTTGTATAGCTCTTTCAGTAAAGAAAACTTTGTTTTTGTCCAGGCTGTCTGTGAGGAGGGGGACTGTGGCTGTGGTAGAAGAGCTGGGGCCTTAGTGGGAGAGCAGGGTAGCAAAAGAGCATTGGTTGGAAGGCAATGGAGATCCCCAGCACCAGACAGCCCTTTCCCAAGAAGGCTGTAGACCCCTTGCAAAGGGGATCAGGACATCAACATCCCAGGACAGGTTTTACAAGGGCTCTGCTAATGAAAGATCCTGAAGTTCAGATTTGCACCAGCCTCTCCTCACCCTTACTTAGCCTTCTGGTGACACAGGCTTATGCTCCTCACATAAATTGGCCTTGCAGGCAGCAGCAGCTGGGCAGCACAGGGTTGAGAGTGTCTGCTTTGCCTTCTGTGGGCAGTGGGAATAACCACCCAGCTGTACACTTGCCCACCTTGTCAATGGAGAGGAACTCCAACAGCTTGTTATGGACCCAACCTGTGCTTGTCCCAGTGAAGGCTGAAAGCTGAAGTCAGCCAGATCTGTGCCGCTGGAGACACAAGAGCCTTCTCTCCATACTGTGGCTGAGCATTTTCCCTAAATAAAATATCTTTCTGGAACACAGGCCATAGCTACTCTATGTCTGCAAGCAGGCAGGAGTGTATTGCTTTGCTTTCTCACACATATTTTCTGGTGCACTGTCCAAAATATCATTTGTTTGACACTGAAAGTCATGTGGGTTTTTCGGGGTATAATGATTCCAGAAAAGCTCATGTGATCCTACTGATACCTACGCAACAGCTTTATGATTCTCTCCTACAGGACAGGAATGGAGTTTCAAGCCCCCTTTATTTCAGATGGCCTCCTGCTTGGAACTTGTTCTTAGGAGAGTGGATTTAATGTAAATAACCCATAGAAAAGGTATCATGTCTAAGGTTTCTGGTACAAAACAAAAGTGACAGAGGTCTTGTCATATCTTTGAGCAGGAACTTACACACTTCTTTTCAGGGCTGTTGAGCTATTGCTTTGTTTGGAAATTTTAATTGTGTATCCTGCCTGAATCTGTGTTTCTTAGGCAACTCATAGAGTATTTTGCATCGGAAAAGACATTTAAAATCACCAAGTCCAATCTTAAGAGGAGTGAAAAAGTGTATTTCAAATTGTTCATGTTTCTGTATGTAGTTCAACTTCCATAGCTGTTCATGACCCTTTTTCATATACAAAAACATTTAATTAATAGTGATTTTATTTTCATAAACCTGTTGTTTGAAACCCTGATACATCTGGCTACCAGACATGGTTATATGCAGGAGTAGTTTCTTTCATCAAGTTTCTGACCCTAATCTTACGTTGTTAGAAGAAGAAAGAGTTGATCTAACTGTATACAATAAACCAGTTTGGAGAAGTAAAATGTTAATCCACAGTTGACTAATTTCAACACTATGACCTGAAAGAAAATGCACCATGGGATAAGGCAGAAAAATGGTCCTTTCTCAGGAATTCACATATGTTGTGAGCATGTATCCCTTTTCCAAGCCTTCTGTGCCCTTGCTCCTGCTGTGTAGCATGGACCACCAAATGTGTGTGAGGATGGTTGTTTCAAACTGCTGGAATCTAGAAAACTTCTTTTATTTAGTGGCTATGGGACAATCTCATGGCAGGCAGATGCTTCACGGTGTGGTCTAACTAGGCAACAAATGCATCACATTTCTTCTTTCTTTTGTGCTCCCAGCCAAAAACCGCTTCACGATGGGCTCCATTTCTAGACCAGTTACTGAGTTTTGCCTTGATCTCTACAATAAGCTCAACAGAAATGCAGAGAACACAAATATCGTCTTTTCTCCAATGAGCATCTCTGTTGCCCTGGCCCTGGTCCATCTAGGTGCAAGAAACAACACTGCTGCTCAGATAGAAGAAGTAAGTATTAATGAAACATGCTGAGATGCTTCCACATTGCTCGCTCTTCCTCTAACGGAAATGTTGGGCATCCTAGCATGACATGTATGTGAGGGTCTCATAGGAAACAAGCAACGAATACAAACACAGGTGCTGCCTTCACAGTCGTGCTTGGCGCACTATGTATGATCTTTGCCATCTGCATGTGTGAGTCACACCATGCTCCCATGCAGATTCAGGAGCAGGGAGCAAGAGCTAAGTGGGAGGAGGTGATACACCACAGTGGGGCACTCTTGCTTTTCCTGCAGTCAGAATGTCAGGCTTCGTTTCAGAATTACAGGCAGGTGCTTCCTCTCGTGGTTGCTATGAGAATACTGAAAGTGTGGATCCCTGTGGGTAGTGGGGAGAGTTGCAGAAACCTGAAGTGATAGCACCTGGGTGGCTGGAAGCATCAGCTCACTTACCACAGTATTAAAGAGTCAAATGTCTCACTTAGAGAGCTCACAGGGACCCAGGTGGTCAGGGAGGAGAAGGCCACCTCTCCAGCTGCTGTGCCTTTACTCCCTGCAGCACAAGTTCTGCTTTCTGCAATCCTTTTCTCTCATTTGTGCTCATGACTGGTAAGAGGACAACAATCCTAAGGTACAGGATTTTGCCAGTAGCTGGCTCTGTACTGGTAGATCTTCATCCGTCATGCCCCAGTGCTGCCATGTGGACAGTCTGGCTGCTGGGTCACCCACGGTGAAGGCAGACTGGCCCTTCTCATGAGGTTTCAAGGGTGTGGGTGGTTGACCTAGCTGGTGGCTGCTGGGAGTCCACATGGCCATGCTTTCATTCCCTTTCTTCAACAAGAAACAGGAGACAAAATAAGATGAAAGAGCTTGTAGGTCGAGATAAGGACAGGGACATCACTCTTCAATTACTGTCATGTCAAAACAGACTTGAATCATTTCTGAGCCAGCTGGAACCAGCTCTAACACAAGGTCAGTCCCCAGTCTCTTCCTACGGAGGCCACCACTGCAGGCCCATGTCTACCATAACCTTGCCACATAAACCAAATACACAGGAACTCTTGCTTATTTTAGGAAAAGTCCAGTATCTTCAATATAAAGATTGTCTATGTGTGATGTCATATTATGATGGAGAAGCTGCTGGACGTTTTTCAGTGAGATACTTCACATTAGAAACAAGGAGTAGTTTGCTTGGTTTTGGTATATCTCCTAAAGATTAAGAATGATTGCAAAAAGCCAGTTTTGATGTTTCCAAAGAAAACTGTTTTCATCTCTTTGCCCGAGGCAACTTTGGTTTTGAAATTTAAGGTAACTGTAACAATAACAATACAAATCACACGTTAAAATTTTGTGGTAGTGGAGAGTCACAATTTGAGGGATTGAGTGCAAGTTCTTCCTGGTTAGCTGGAATAGAAATGTGAATTTGAACATTAATATATGAACAATTTCAAGTCTGTCATTTTAGCCTGGCAGAAGCTGAGAAAACATCTTTCATAAATCTACACTGTTTATGCAGGGCAGCATAGCAAATCTTTTAACCAAGGAAAATGCTTTTATCCCAGTTATAGTTGCCATAATTTGGTATCATCAACTGCAGGTGCTCCATGCCAGGAAAGCTACAGGAAGAACGAGCCTTGGATCTGACTGTGAGAGTGCAGAAACAGAGCCAGAAGGAAGCCAGGAGAGACAGCTTTCCCCCTCACAGGTATGTCCTTGCGTGGAGAGCACTGGACGGTAGGTTTCTAGGTATAAAACACTAGAGTCTGCCACTGGAGGGAGTCAAGATCACACTCACAGACTGCCTAATCCATTAGGAAATGTCTGATACAGGGTGATACTTTATTAAGGGCCAAGTCTTCCATGAAGTGAATACCAAAGCCTTGAGTCTTCTCAGGTGAAGGAAGATCAGGCTACAGAGCTTAGACTAACTGGATTTAAAAATCAGTACAGCAGGAGTTAGCCCTATAGTGTAATCTAATTAGGAAGTAAATCAACAACCAAAGCTACATGAAAGAATTGTTATAGTTGCTGTGTTTGTACTATTTCCAGTGTAACAAGGATGGAGATCTCAACCATAAGGAGTTCCAGGCACTGCTTTTACAACTACAAAACCTTGGCGAAAGATATGTTTTAACCCTTGCCAACAATCTCTTTATACAACAAGGATTTGAACTCCAGCAGGTAGGTTACCTGTATCTGCTAACTGCTGTGGCCCTGACCTCAAGCTTCTCTGTTACTATGAACCTTGCTGATGTCCCCCTCATGTGTCAAATGGAGCACTTGGTGTATCTTTTGGGGCTGCTGGGAAAGAGACAAGAGTGACAGCTTTTAGTTATTTTGTTTAAAAAAACCCCATCCTGTTGATATCAATGGTTAGAGAGCTAAAATAAAGCAGGAGTCCGTTCTTTTTTGGTGTAAGTCTACATTCAGTCAAAGTATGACTACAGCCAAATATGCCTATTCGAGCTGTCCATAAGCTGTGCTTGCAAGTTGGATGCTGGTGCAGCAGGAAGCTTGGAGAGCATTTATTACCTGAGATGTTATACACTTCCATGTGTAGGGCTGGTGTGCTGAACTTCTTACTCCTTTCTTACTGAATGAAAGAGCAGTCTCCAGCTACCTAGTATGGATAACTTGCTATCACATCTTTGCTTTTCTGTCAGTTATTTCTGTGGAATGATTTGGATACTTAAGCATTAAACAACACACCTTGCATCTTCTCTACTTTTTATCTGTACCTCAGCTATGCAGTTCTCCATGGGAAGACTCTTTCTTCTGGCTTTCTTCCTTCTTACTTCTGTTGCGTGTGCAATAGAATAAGTATCTCTTTCAAAGATTCTCTTAATAAATTTCATATGGTTGATATTTCCAGAATGAAATTTTGTCTTGTGTAGTCAACAGGTCCCTCACGATTTCTAAAATAGTTCTGAACCATTGATTTCTTTCAAAAGGGTATAAGTGCTTAACAGATTTGATCAATTCATAATATTTATTTTGTTTTACAGCAATTTCTAACATGCTCTGAGGAACTATATGGAGCAATGCTACAAACAGTAGACTTTCATGGTGCTGTTGAAGCTGCCAGAATAAAAATCAATGCTTGGGTTGAAAATGAGACACGAGGTAAACCAAAATAAATCTGTAGCCATACTATCACTGCCTTCTTACACTGCTTCAGCAAAAGAAATTCCAGGGTATGAAAAGCAGACTTGCTCATGGGGTGTTCAACCTTATGCTGTTTAAAGACATTATGTCTTACCATCCACTCTTGAAATATCAGAGTAAGTTATTAGCTAAATTATTTCTGAATTAAATGTGTGTTTGTTGCCAGATACTTTTGTACTCCTGCCCTTATGCCTGGCATGATAATTGCAATAGAACCTGTAAGGCTCAACCAGAGAAATTGCTCCTGTGCACAGCCACAAATGCAGAGACAGGACAGCAGGGGATGGAAGCTATGAGCTTCATGGTGAGACTGGGAACAGCCTGGGGTGGGCGGGGGGAAAGGAGGAGGATGAATGAAGACCTGATTACATGTAGAGCAATGCCCACAAAGATCAGAGATGTTACCACCAGCAAGACTCACTATCACAAGTGACAATCAACCAGCTCTTGCCCTTGACAGGTTAGCAGAGGCCATTTGCTCTTGTTGATTAGACTAAACATGATAGATGGCATTTTCCTTTAGTTTTGCCAGAGCTGCAGTAGCAGTAGCAGCAGGATGAAAGTTTTCTAAATCTTGTGGCTGAACATAAACCAGAACTTACTGGGGGACAGGCAAATAGATTTGAAGGCTTCTGTAATTTATCAGTTGCCCATCTCCTGACCAACCCTGTCCTCGTACTGGCAGAGTGGCCTGTGACTGATGTGGGAAAGAGCTGTTCACTCCAGTTGGCTCCCAGTAAGAGGGCTGAAGGTTCACCAGTCACTGTGCCCAGAGTTAGGAGCCATCATTGCTCTGGGTGCTCATATGAAGCCAGTGAACCTGCTAACTCCTAATTCAGCTTCCGTGCATAAAGTTGGAAGCTCCACAGCTGGTTAACTGCTGCACTTGGCACAAAGGGAAAGATTCCCTCATGTAACCCAAAAAAGGGATTAATGGTGCTGCCTGCATCCTGTGGTTAATGTCATCCGACACATATATATGGTCACTGACACTGACAGCTGGCTAATTTGCTGGCCCTCCTGTCCTCCCTGACTGGTAACAGTGTAGAGAAATCTACCACTTGTTTTCCTGTGTTGCCCCTTTGAATAAACCAAGAACTGGATTTCTAAGTTTTCCCAAAACTAAGTTCACAGACAATTATGTCTGTCCAGAGTCTCAATGGCAACTAACAAATACTGTGTATTCTGAAATTTCCTTTAGGTAAAATCAAGGAACTCTTCGCTCCTGGTGCGATTGATGTACATGCATTACTGGTGCTGGTGAATGTAATCTACTTCAAAGCATCTTGGGAGCACAAGTTTGAGGAACAAAAAACAGTACAGAGAGACTTTAAACTGAATCAGGTAGATCTACATTCTATAAATCTTAACATTATTTACCCTAGATACTGTAAGCACTGCAGCAAGCATAACAAGGAAGCACAATGACCAGGGCTCAGCTGCCTGTGAGCAAGGTGAGTGAGCGAGCTGGGAATTTAACCTGCCTCTCCGGTTGGGTAGAGGTGGCAGGAGGTTTTTTTCATAGAAAAGCGTATTTTTCTTCACATGCTAATCAATATTAGCAGGATTTTTGCTGAAAACATCATTAGAAAAAGTCTTCTTCCACTATTCTAGAAGTTCTATATGTGAGCAAGACTATGGTTTTGCTTTTAACGTATTTTTTGCTTCCTGTCTAAATGATCAGTCTGATAAATGACAGCCTGATTCTTTCAGTGCTATTTCTTCTTTATCCCAGTCCAAGTTAGGACTTGCAAATCCAATCAGCAGCAGCCTGTTTGGAAGTATAACGCTATTGAGCAGCTTCATTATCTAATCAGTTGCAGGGCAATGGTTGGTTGATTTGTTTACATGTTTGTTTTACCTAAAGAATTATTCCCTTTATTTACACATGGCAAAGCTGATGTTTTGTGTGCCAGTGTAGATACAACAAAATGAAGAAAAATATTTAGCCTAGCAGCAGTTATTGCTGAAACCCTAACTGCTGATATTACACCTATAATAAGTTTAAATGTTAAGAGCAGTACTGACTGTATAATTCTTTTAAATAGAATGAGAAAAAACCTGTGCAGATGATGTATCAGAAAGGAACATTTAAATTAGGCTACATTGAGGAGATGGGTGCTCAGGTCCTTGAACTCCCTTATGCTCAGAAGACACTGAGCATGATCATCCTGCTGCCAGGTGATATGGCTGACGGATCTACCAGTGGGCTGGAGCAGGTAAGGCAGTATATATCATGTACTGTGGCTGGAAGTTGTTTGTCTGAATTATGTCTGGATAAAGATCTAAATTTTTCAAAGCTGCTCACTATTTTAAGCTCTTTTCCCTCCCATCTTCTAGATTGAAAGCACAATGACTTATGAAAATTTAATGCTGTGGGCCTCTTCAGAGCACATGTTTGAGACAACAGTAGAGGTATACCTCCCCCGATTCAAGCTTGAAGGCACCTTTAACCTCAATGAGGTATTACAAGAGATGGGGATGACTGATGTTTTCAGTGAATCAAAAGCTGACCTTTCAGCAATGTCATTTGCAAAGTCTCTGGTACTGTCAAATGTTGTCCATAAGACATACGTGGAAGTCAATGAGGAAGGCACTGTAGCAGCAGCTGGTACAGCAGCTGCCATTGTGAGAAGGTCTCTTCCTCTCAAGGAGGTCTTTATGGCTGACCACCCTTTCTTGTTTTTTATTAGACATAATCCTACTCATAATATTCTTTTCTTCGGCAAACTCTGCTCACCTTAAAATCAGGGCCATTTTCTAACATTGTGAGAAACAGCTGGAACAAAATGAGAAATTGTATTTTTTTCCCAATCCATTCTTAATCCTTTGACATCTAGTTTGTATTTCAAAGTGATCTCTATAACCAGTTTAGCTTAGAACCAGTCAATTGAATGCTCTGCCACTAGGCTCCTTGAATTGCAAATATTGATCTGAATCCAGAATAAGAGTAAATTTTGCCTTAACCTCATTGGATATGAATAACATTTTGGGTTTTTTTTGACCACATATGCTCCTGTATTCCTGCATTCATATGCATTCCTGCATATTAATGATGGTGACAAAAGGATTGAGGTTAGAAGGGACCTCTGGGGGTCATCTGGTCCACCTCCCCTGCTCAAGCAGGGCCATGTACAGCTGGCTGCCCAGGACCGTGTCCAGATGGCTTTTGGATATCTCTGAGGATTGACACTCCACCACCTCTCTGGACTATCCCTCCTGTGTGCTCCCTAAAGTCTCAAATGACTCCAGAGAGAAATTTGTATGCACGCTGTCTGCTGTAACAGGATACAAACCTACACATATCTAACGATGGTTAATTATTTACATAGTAAAGAAGGCTGTATATGGGAATAAACCAAGTGTTTTCAGTCTCAAAGAATAGGAGGAAAATGTTCTAAAGTACCCCATTGAAGTTACTAATTTGTGAACTGTAGCTATGAACTTCCAATAAATGCTTTTTCTTCTTTACATGCTGCTGTTGGTGAATTTTAACAATCTGAGATGCTGACATGAAAGATGGGGCTCTCTCCGTGCTCTGAGAAATGAAGAAGGGGTTTGAAATAGGTTGCCTATAGAGGTTGTGAAGTCTCCTTCCCTGGAGATGTATTCAAGAGCCATCTGGGCAATCCTGAGTAATGTGCTCTAGGTGACCTGATTGAGCAAGAACAGACAAGAGCAGCACAATAAAAGAGTCAAATAAACAACCCACTCTTGACTGTCTAATTTGGAGTGGCAGGCAGCCCAATTTACCTATTAGATGATGCTTCTGTTAACCAAAGTTACCACCATATGGTACTTGCATTCTCTGGGGAAGTTATATTCTGTGCCATTTCTGTTGTGAACCTGCAATCTCAAAAATCAACACTGCTTCTGAAAATGCAGGGATGGGTATTCCTTTGATGAAGTGGCAAATGCCAAAAGGGAAAAATCTTTCCCTTTATTCCTGTCTTTTCTCAGAAATGAGTATACACACCCCAACCCTCAGTATATTCAATTTTGGCACTCTTGGGTGTCTGATGACCCTGTGGGTTAGCAGGGGGATGGATCTGCACTTGCTATCAGTGCAGAATGAGGGAGGTTAGTCCTGGAAGTGAAAGAAATAGAGGGGAATGTTTGCAGTAAAAATCTTCATTTAACACTGGCTGAGCAGGGCCATTCCTGTGCTGCCAGAGCAAGGGAATGTGAAGACTTGGTGAGCCCTGTTTGATATAAGGGTTGCATCTGGGACATTTCTGGTACATGCAATAGCAGTGGTTTTATGACTGCCACAATCTCATGCACTATGCAAAGAAGATTAACATTGTGAAGGGGAAAAACCAAATGTCTGTGTGACATATTTCTTTTGCTTTTTTCCCCCTCGATGCAAATTCTACCAAAAGCTGTGCCTCTCTCAGCCAATCCCCATCTGTGCAAACAATATCCAATGCCTCTTCTCTCCCTGCAGTTCACAGCTCGCCAAGGAAACACACATCGTTTTTGCAAATATCAAGGTTCAGATGTGTTTGCTGCTCTGCCCTGAGCCCCTGGGGTTGGACTAGGTGACCTTTAAAGGTCCCTTCTTACACAAACCTCATTCTATGGCTCTGCATCAACAGCTGGTCAAACTAGTTTATGGTAACCACATTGTATCACAAAATATCTGAGCTGGTATAAACCCAGTAGAGTTATTAGGTATTTGTGTCTCAAATGTACATGCACATTGCAAAATCTCAGGTTCTCCTGACTTTAATATTGCGTGTTATACTTACTGAACTGCGCAGGATCTGCCCCGTTTTCCTACTCCTATCTGGAACTGGAAGTAACTGGGAAAAACTCATCTGTGATTGGAATAATGGTTATTGGCAAAATGTAGATCTTTTGACCTATAAGGTGAAGTGACCTGAGACTGAATTTACAGACATGATCAGTGTTGAAAGTTTCACTTTTACAGCATCATTCCTTTTTGTTTGTGTTCAGTCTGAGCTAACTTTGCATGTGGTTTCCTCTCAAGGGGTGGTGGTAGAAATTTGCACAGCAAGTCTCCACCACTCCTTGAAATTTGGCATGATGCATTTGGGTTGCAGTGTCTCAGCTTCTCCAAGTTGCATGGCCACAGCCCTTCTTAAGGATTCATTAGCAGCTGCAGATGTTTGGTCAAGTGGTGCTCACCATCTCAGTGAGTTAGGTATTTGCTTCTTCCCTGGTATCAGCTGAGGGAAGGGCCACAGTTTGGCCCATAAATCACAAGATCAGTCAGTACCCTGGCCTTGACTGATGCTAATGTAAGAAGTTTCATTCTTTCTGTACTGTGCAACGTGCTAATCTACTCCAGCAGTACAGTCAGTCACACAGCAATGGCAGCAGGGTAATCTAGACTTCTCATTTCAATATTTATTTAAAAAATTGTCTTTTAGTAGATCCTTGATTTTATTTTTTTGGTAAGTTGTGCTCATTTTCTAAATGGATTTATAAGCACTTCTACATCACAGTGTTTATAGGCTTTATGAAAACCAGATTCAGAAGTCACACTTCCTAACTGTACTTTTCTTGTCTCTGTAATGGAGAATCAGTGAATACCATGTTAAATGCACAGAATTATAGGTGGCTGCAGAAAGGAGAAGCAGCACTACGATAACGCTGTGACTCTCCTAAAGAGAAGATAGGCTGGCTTTAAGCATGTACATGCAAAAAGCCACCTGAAAGAAACATTTTATCTTCTAATGCATGTGGAAGTATCCAAAATTTGTAGACATTTTATTTTTACCTTCTCTAAATTCTGAGCAGCTACTATTTTTGTTTGCTTACTTGGAACTGCCTTGAACTGCTTTGCCCATGCTGAAATTCAGGAACGAGGTGCACTGAGATGCAAGTCCTTAGAGAACATCCATTGAGTGCATTCAAAGCAGACCTTGTGCAGGTATTCAAATAGAGCTCCCTGAAACTGCCATTAAAGTGACTTCATTTTTTTTAAAGTGGAAATAGCACATAACTTCTGTAGCGGGAAATTCACGTGGCTCGGGATGTGAAGGGCCGGTCTTCAGTGTATCCCATTCACTTGCTGGAATTCAAGCCTGTGTATCATAGGAGAAGGCACCAAGCACTGTCAAGCACTGGTTTTAGCACAGGCTGGGTGGGAGAACTGCCCAGCTTCCTCTTAAATACCTTACACCAATGAATACAGCCTAATGGCACAAGAAAAGAACTCAAGGATAACTTTGCAGTTCAACAGCTATTGTAGGTAAGTTCTGGTCTTCAGTCTCTGCTCCTAAGACTATTCTTGTTTTAATCTAGTAACAGAGAAAAAACTCAAATAAAGTGGGCAGGTATTCTAACAATGATACTGAACTGTTTTTGTCTGTAGCTTTCTGATAATGTGATTTTTTCCCCACTTTCTTAATATCTGCCTTGAAAAGAAAACAGTGAATAAAGTACTTATATTGTGAGCTTCTTTTCAGCTCTTTAGAGGGTGTGACTGTGCAGCTTTTTCATCTGAACCCTCAGGCATGAAATTAGATATTCTTAATTATGAGATGGTGTGTCACAGCTTTTGTATAAGAGCACTACCACCTACACAGCTCCAAGATTGTTTCATATTATTCCCTCATTTGACTGCTGCGGTTTGGAAACAGGGTCCAGCTTTCCCATACACGTACTGTTGATTTTAAAAACACTGGAAGGGCACTGCTTGAAGGAGCTCTACTGCATATCCTGATGGATGTCTTCCTTCCTTGGGCAACGCCTCCTGAGCATCTAGCTTTTGGCAAAGCACTCAGTGTAGCCTGCAACCTCGCAGCAGACAGCTCTGCCTCCACTCACATCCCTGTCAGCTCCTTTTCCAAGAGGCCCCTACTGCAACCCACTGTGCTGCCTATCTGTTCTTTCCCCTGCAATCTGTCATCACAGAGCAGTCCCAAACACAGGCCAGCAATGACGAGTCCTGCCTTTTCCACAGCTCAGTCTGCTGAGTGAGAAATTACCTTACTAAACAGTAGAGGGGCGACCACTGATGGGGAAAGCTTTCTCAATCCAGAGTTTCATAATAGGGGAAAGTCCATCAAATCATATTATCAGATTATATTAATGCAATCAACCTGTGATAGCTATACGGGGTTTGGCTGCATGTTGATCAATGGAGCCAGCTCCCTGTTGGCCTAAAATAAATACAGTGCTCAGCCCACAACCTGCCATGAGACAACGAATGCCCCTTTGTTCCACAGGGGAAACACTGTGAAAAACCTGACTGCTGCTTGTGAAGCAGAACAGCCTTCAGAGTCAAAAAAGAAATGCTTTGGCAGAGTGGTGCTCATTTCCTTGTTTTTGAATGCTGATGAATAGGAAGGATGCTGGCAGACATACCCAGGGACATTTGGTGTATCTCCCATGCCCTCAGACATGAGATACTCCACCGTATTGCCTTTTTTGCTTGTTTTGTGCAAGACATACAGAGGTGTCGGCTGACAGTGGCTGTGGAGCTCAACAAGAGCCTTATGAGCCCCACATTCATTTCAACCCAAAACAATCGATGCTTCAAGCTCCCCACATAGTTCTGGTGAAATACATGGGCTAGACCTAAGGGTTAAGAAACCAGATCCATACCTGGAGTACAGTAGCAAGTTTTCAGAACTGCAGACCTCAGCTGAAAGTGCTACCATAGCAGTGTCTAACTCTCTGTGGTGTCATGGGTAAATTCCACATCCAGCCTTCTGGAGGGACAAGGAGCAGCAGCCTGGACAAAGGAGATGCTCTGGCTCAGTGCTTTTCCCTGAACACGACCAGCAGTGCAGACCACACTGAGCTGGGCTGGTGGTGCCTTCACTTCACCTCCTCTCGACCATTTTCTGCATGAGGCCAATGGAAAAAGCCCTAAAATTCTTACCATACAGGAGCATCCTGCTGCCAGGATCTGTTCCCAAAGCTGTGTAACTGGGATTGTTTCTGCCCCCTGAACCGGGTCTCAAACTTAACTCAGGTTAGGCCTCCCACCTCCTGATCTATAGTCTGGTAAATGCTCAAAACTCAGGATGTGATGCTGAAGACCACCATGTTCTCCCTCCACTCCCTGGCTCTTGCTAACACAGGAAGAAAAACATGCTGAGACCCCTGAGATAAAGTGCCCATGCTGGGGCAGCCCCAGCTAAGTGTAGCCCTCAGGCACAGAAGCTGCTGGGGCACAGGCTGGATAATTGCACCTCTGCAGAAAGTCCTGGGTTAAAGAAGAAATAACATGTTGTGGTTATGGGCCCAGCTCTTGTCATCTGCTGCAAGGTTATTAGGGCTCCCCTTGAGAGATAGGTTATCAGATGCACGTAGGTCCTTCAGGGAGAGGTGCTTCTCTGAACACTGTGTATCAGACTCTCATTTTCTGATTCGTTTCTGTTTCCCTCTTGCTGTTGTTGTATGCTTTCTGCAGATGCTTGCCACGTCTTTGAGATTATGCAGCAGGGCAAGATAAGTAGAAGCAGCAGCATCAGCAGGGTGCCTCCCTCCTC